ATAAGAGACAATGACAACAGGAAAAGTGGCAGGAAAATGATTCTAAACTTAGGAGCAACCAACCCGTAGCTTCAATACATAAGTGGAGGGCCCGGCAGGATGGCTCACGCCTGAAATCCCAACACTTTGGGAGGCCCAGGAAGGCAGATCACGAGGTCAGGAGATGGAGACCATCCTGGCCAACATGGTGAAACACTGTCTCTACTAAAAATACAAAAAACTAGCTGGGTGTGGTGGCATGCACCTGTAACACCAGCTACTCAGGAGGCTAAAGCAGGAGAATCGTTTGAACCCGGGAAGCAGAGGTTGCAGTGAGCCGAGATTGTGCTGCTGCACTCCAGCCTGGGTGACAGAGCGAGACCCCGTCTCAAGAAAAAAAAAAAGGAAACTGACAGATTTTAAAGGAGAAACGAAAATGAACAAATTCATCTATTCCAGGAGGAGACTTTAACTCTCAGAATGGAGAAAGCAGGTAGAAAAAAAAAATAGGATGAAACTTGATTTACATAATGAACAGATTTGATTTAATTAACATATGCAGAACTCTGGGCACAACAAAAAGAAAACGGAAATTATTCTTTTGAAGGAGTCAAAATCATTTACAAAAATTTATGAGTTAGCTCACAAAGCAAGACTCAAAAAAATAAGAAAATCATGTTTTCCTTACATTGACAATCAAGAATAAGAATGAAAAATAAACTAGTTTTAGAAATGAAGACATTCCTAAATTACAAATGAGTCAAAGAATAAATCGTAATTAGGCTGGGCGTAATGGCTCATGCCTATAATCCCAGCACTTTGGGAAGCTGAGGCAAGCAGATCACTTGAGACCAGGAGTTTGAGGTGAGCCTAGCCAACATGGCAAAACCCCATCTCTACTAAAAATACAAAAATTAGCTGGCTATGGTGGCACCCACCTGTAATCCCAGCTACTCAGGAGGCTGAGGTACAAGAATTGCTTGAACCCAGGAGATGGAGGTTGCAGTGAGCTGAGATCACACCACTGTACTCCAGCCTGGGTGATGGAGCAAGAATCTGATTCAAAAAAAAAAAAAAAAAAAGAAGAAGAAGAAGAAGAAATTGTAATTAAAATTTGAAAATATTTAAAAGTGGGCTGGGCTAGTTGCAGTGCCTCACATTGTAATCCCAGTATTTTGGGAGGCCAATTGGGAGGATCACTTGAGGCCAGGAGTTCTAGACCAGACTGGGCAACATGGCAATAGCCTGTATCTACAAAAAAGAATTAGCTGTGTGTGGTTATGCACACCTGTAGTCCCAGCTACTTGGGAGGCTGAGGTAGGAGTATTGCTTGAGTCTGGGAGTTAGAGGCTGCAGTGAGCCATGATTGCGCCATTTCATACCATCTTCACACATGGAGGAGATTTGCAGTCACGTGTCACTTAACAACAGAGGTATGTTCTGAGAAATGCGTCATTAGGCAATTTTGTCACTGTGTGAACATCACACAGTATAGTTATACAAACGTAGGCCATAAGGCCTACTCCACACCCAGGCTATATGGTGTACCCTGTTGCTCCGAGGCTACAGACCTCAGCATTACTGTGTTAAATGCTCTGTGCAACTGTAACACAATGATGAGTATTTGTGTGCCTAAATATATCCAGACATAGAACGAGTACAGTACAAATATGGCATAAAAGATTAAAAAACGGCACGCCTGTATAGGACACTTACATGAACAGAGCTTGCAGGCCTGGCAGCTGCTATGCACGACAGTGAGTGAGCACCAAGTGAGGGTGGGGGCCCTGAACATCACTGCACACAACTACAGACTGGCTAACCCTGCACATTTAGGCTACACTCGATTCATTTAAAACTTTGTCTTTCTTCAGTAATAAATTTAGTTTATTCTAACGTTTTTACTTTATAACCTTTTAGTTTCTTAAACGTTGAGTCCTCTATACCCTTAGCATAACATACACATTGTACAACTATACAAAAATACTTTCTTTACATTCTTATTCTATAAGTGTTTTTATTTAAAATTTCTTAAATTTACTTTTTCTTACAAAGTAATACACAAACACACACACTAGCCTAGGCC